CTTAATTTTCTGCCCATCAATAGTTCTGCTGGGCTTTTATTAGTTGTGGTGTTTGGTATGATGTGCTGTATAGTTAGTAATTTATAGAATCTTTCCTGGATGTCTCCCGTGCCTAGTTTATCTAGTGTCTCTTTAGTATACCGAACCATGCGTTCCGCCTGTCCGTTCATAACCGGGTGACCTAGCACTGTTAGGGCATGCCTTATTCCCTGTTTGGTGAGGAACCTTTCAAATGTCAGCACCATGAACTGCAGCCCATTGTCTGATACCACTAGATCCGGTAACCCATGTGTTGTGAACAGCTTCCTCAGCTGTCTGATTATGGCTTCTGTCGTTGTGGAGTGCATGACGCTTACCTCCAGCCAATTGGAGTAAGCGTCTACTACTATCAAAAATGTGTGTCCTTTCGTTGGTCCTGCGAAATCTATGTGTATCCTGACCATGGGCCCCTCGGTGTTTCCCAGTCGAGTACAGGTGCAGAAGGGGGTCTAGGCCTGGATTGTTGGCATTGTGTGCATGTTTCCACCCATCTCCCAATATCCTTATCCATCCCTGGCCACCATACATAACTCCTGGCCAGGGATTTCAGTCTTACAATACCTGGATATCCTTCATGCAATATATACAGTATTTGTTCCTTCAGTATGTCCGGTATGATTACCCGATCCCCCCCATAGTACACATCCTTTTAAATTAGAGAGTTCAGTTTGTCTAATACGATAGGGTTTGACAGTCTCGTCATTTTCTATCTACGGCCACCCTTTACCTACCCAATTTAAAATCCACACCAGGATTTTGTCTTTCGCGGTTTCCCTCGCAATGTCTGTTGCTGTTATGGGTAGGTTTGCCAACGTCTCGATTTGCAGGGTTGATGTGGTTGGTGCAGGATCATCTTCTAACTCAGGTAGGGGGTACGGCTCAGGGCGTCAGTGTGCGTTATGTTCTTTCCTGGCCTGTGGATTAAGTTGTAGCTGTATGCCGCGAGGAACTCGGACGATCTCTTCATTCGCGGTGACAATATGTTGGGGGTAGCTTTGTTTCCTGCAAGTATTCTTAAGAAAGCTTTATGATCTGTAATCAATGAAAAAGTTCTGATGTAGAGGTATTCGTGGAATCGTTTGACTCCTGTTATTACAGCCAGCACTTCTCTGTCCAATTGGCTGTAATTTCTCTCCGCTTTTGATAGGGTTTTGGAGTGGAATGCGATCGGTGCTTCTCTTCCATCGGGTAATATGTGGCTGAGTATGGCTCCGACGCCAAACGGTGATGCATTGCAGGTTACTGTTAGTGGCAGGGTTTCGCTATACTGGATAAGCACAAAGTCTGATGTGAGTAAGTCTTTGATTCCCTGGAATGCGGTTTCTTCTCATCACCCCCAGGTCCCGGTAGCCTTCTTATCCAGCAGCCTGTGTAATGGTTCTGCTGTCGTTGCCTTCTGTGGCAAGAAAACATTGTAAAAATTAATAAGTCCCCAAAAGGCTTGTAATTCTGTTTTATTTTTGGGTCTGGGAGCTTCTTTGATTGCTCTGATTTTCTTTTCAGTGGGGTGGATTCCTTCTTTATCTATGAGATATCCCAGGAATTCAACCTTATCAATGGCTAGTTGGCACTTTTCTCTTTTCACTTTGAGTCCCGCCTCTTTAAATTTTTGTAAAACTTCCCTCAGCCTGCCTTCCAGTTGTTTTTTGTCTCTGGCGGATACCAATACATCATCAAAATATGGTACCACCCCCTTGATTCCCTGCAGAAGGCATTCCATCAAGCTTTGGAATACCCCTGGGGCCACGCTAACTCCAAATTGTAGTCTTTTGCATTTGAATGCCCCCCTGTGAGTCACAATTGTTTGTGTTTCCTCTGTTTCTGGGTCGGCTGGCAATTGTTGATAAGCTTGCGCAAGGTCGAGTTTCGCGAAAACTTTTCCTCCCCCCAACGAATGTAATAGGTGTTGTACCACCGGAACGGGGTATGCGCTTTGTTGTAACACATGGTTGAGGGTGGCCTTATAGTCTCCACAGATACGCACGGACCCATCCAGCTTAATTGGAGTCACAATTGGGGTTTCCCACCTTGCGTGGTCAATTGGTTCTAATACCCCCTGTGTGATGAATTTATCTAATTGCTCATCGATTTTTGGTTTTAACGCAAAAGGGCCTTGCCTCGCCTTCAGTCTAATTGGGGCTATACTAGGGTTCAAATTAAATGAGATAGGGGACCCTTGGTACTTGCCCAGTTCTCCATCAAAAACATCCTGGAATTCCCTCATCAGGTTCTCCTCCCAGTCCATCTCAGTGACGCTGTTGATCCCAGTCACTCCGATTCCCAGGGGTGCAAACCATTCGAGTCCCAGTAGACTGGGGAGATCCTGGTCTACTATCGTCAATGGAAGGATTGTCGTGTATTTTTTGAATTTGACTTGGAAATGTCTGAGTCCGACTATGGGAATCCTGTTCCCTTGGTAGTCTTTCAGTGTTAGTTTCTGTCTTTCTAATTCCTTTCTTTGCATATCTGGTATCAGGCTCTTTAGGGTGTTCCATGATATCATGGACAGATATGAACTGGAATCCACCTCCATCTCGCATGGCTGGCTCTCTATGGTGACTTGTACATGCACCTTCCTTGCATCGGTTGCGCTCGAGTGGCCAATTTTTATTGTCTGGTGTGTTTCTTCTTTTCTGTTGGTTTCATTGAACTGCTTATTTCTGTTTTCTTGGCTCGAATCGCTCCCTGTCTGTCTCTCTCTTGTTCTGGGGAGGGGGTGCTTCCTCTTTGTCTAGGGCTGTAGCTATTTCTGTTGCGGCAGACCCTAGCTATGTGTCCCTGCCTTTCACAATGCCTGCAAACAGCGTTGTGGAAATGGCACTCGGACCATGGGTGGTCCTGTCCGCACCCCGCACAACGGAATTCTGATTTCCGTTCTCTTTGGTCTCACCTGCTTTTTTCTGACTGGAGTCTATTGATCTCTTCTTCCTCCTCGTTGGTTTCGGACAGGGATTCAATGTCCTCATGGTGTGTTGTGGTGGTGGCCTTTTGAGTTCCCTCTGGCTTCTTGTCTTGAGCTGGGCTAGGGTCTTTTAGAGCTTCCTGTGTTGCTCTATTCATTTTCCGCATGGTGGCTGCTAATTTCTGCGCTGCTTCCGCTGCGGTAGCTTCTGCGATAGCCTCGGTTACTGTTATGTTGGGTCTGGTCAGTAACTGGCTCTGTAAGGTGAGATCTCTGAGTCTGAGGACCATGCGGTCCCTCATGGCCTCGTCCATATTGAGAAATTCGCGTGCTCCGCCAATGTCTCTTAGAGCCGCAATGAAATCTCCTATGCTCTCACCTTCCTTTTGGTCTCGCTTGTAAAATTCATGCCTCCTGATGAGGCTTGAGACAGCTGGCACATAATGTGCTCGCAGCACTCTGTCCAAATCTGGCCAACCCATTTGCTTCACATCCTGGGGTTTTGCCAATGCTTTGGCCATCTTGAAGACTGTGGGCCCACAGTGGGTTAGGAAAACGGCTCTCTTTCTGTTTTTGGATATCCCCTGTAACTCATTGCTCTCTAGGAACATGAGGAATCTGTCGATGTAAGAGTCCCAGTCCTCCGTCGCTGGGTTGAACGGTGCGGGTGGCGAGTTGCCACATGCTCAACTGGTCTACTTTGTCTCAGTATCCCACCTTCGTCGCCAGTGTTGTGTCGTGGGAAAGATCGACTCGAGACCAGTTAGACTTCAGCTCTTTTTATTGGTCTCTCTGAAACTGAACAACTGTGGAGCCGCGGCAGCCTCTTTTATAGCAGCAGCTCGCGGCTCGCGGCCAATGACAGCTCTTCAAAGTTCCCGTCGTCAGACAGACCAATCAAAAGGGATTATTTCAAGTATTCAAATATATAACAGTGTTGTAACTAGGAGGTTTGAACCTGCTCTGTCAGAGGACATAGGCTCAAGTGATGAGGAAGATCTGGCATTAAGGTTTGAGCCTGCCTTGTTGAGTGACACAAATGGGAGTCAGGAGGAAGAGGAAGATAGGGCATTGGGGTTTGAACCTGCTTTGCTGGAAGTTTCAGAATCCTCACCTCTCCTGGACCTTCCTCATTAGTTACACCTGTGTCGGCAGATAATCAGGAGAACGTGCCAGAGTCCTTGGATGAAGATCAAACCGAAGAATCTTGGTTTGATGCAAGGAACAGACGTAAGCGGAAACGTCAAGCACAAACTGGAAGGAGACGTCGAATCAGAGACTGAGTAAGAGACTGACACGCCCCTTCAGGAAATATAAGGAGGCGTGTTAGCTCCGGAGCACTGTTCGGATCAACTTTGTTATTTACGTTCGCAGTTTGGAAAAAGTTTTCTGTTTGCCGTTCGGCTCTGATTTATAGTGCTGCTCGTTATCTGGATTTGCAGACAGTTTCTGGGAAAGCTGCCAACGACGACTTCAGCCAGAGGAAAGTTAACTCTGTTGTTCCTGATATTGTCTCTTCATGTTTTTTTCCTTTGGACATTTGGACTCTCACCTTGTGGCCACAGGTGAGACAGAACATAACAGATTGTTCAGTTTAAACATCTGCAATCAGCTTAGGCCATTCCCAGATAGCCTAATGCCTAATGCCACTTTGGAGTTAGAAACATGATTAGTAACAATGGAGGCCAGAGCAAAGTTATGCTATTTTAATCTTTGGCTAAGACTATTTTTTCTAATTCCACTAGTTCTAGAAGATTGCTTGAAAGATAGCTTGAAAGAAGCCCTGCAGGGGGGAAAAACTCTATCATTGTGGTTTTTCAGCAGACATTGTGACTATTTTAGATCTAAAGAAGTCCAAGGAAGTGATTAAAGAACAACTTCAAGATTTTGATCTATAAACAGACTCATGTGTCACTGCTCCCAAGTATTCCTTCTGTTGAATATTAAGAGCAATTTTGTATCAGTTTATCATACAGTATATCATCATTCCACAATGACAAAAAAGTTTATTCAGGCCAAATTTAATGCTGTTCCAAAAGCAACTTTGGCAAGACGAATTTTGAAAATCCTGTATGAGTGGACCTTTTGACATTATGCTGGAAGAGACTGAGTCAGCAAAGCATATACTGGAGCACTGTTCCTTTCATAGAAAAAATATCATCTATATATCAGATCCATTATGAATGTGCTAAGCTGGGATGGAGAATGCATTATATACCTTTTGATTGATGTTTCTTAAAGAATAGCCAAACTTAATGCACAGCCAATTCTCTTAAGGTAACAACTCCTCAGAGGTTTATTTTTGATCTACTAAGTAATTTGTATAACTTAGTAATAAAAATTGGTTATAATTTGTAAAGACAGAATTAAAATAAGCTTAGTATGACAGAGAGATGTTAGGATTTTAGTCATGTTATGTATTTTATTACTGACTTATAACAGAAAGGGGGATTTACATATCCATTGTCCTGTAATATATTAAATGTTTACAGAGTGCCATTTCTGCTTGAATGACCAGAATATGGTTGCTGATGATGACCAGCTCAGAGGGATGCAAAAAGTGTGGCTTCTAGATACATGTTTTATACCCCCTTTCCTACAACAACAACAACTCTGTATGATAGGCTGCGTTGAGACTCACACAAAGCTATCCAGGCATTGAAGATGGGTTTGAACCTATGTTGAACCCATTTAATTAACATAGGAAATGGAATCCAACAAAGCAACACACTTTTAATCTTAGCTATAATCATAGAATCCTGTGCATACCAGCATTTTGGTATTCAGTTGATATCTGATATCGAGAAAGACCTCCACTGTTTTCCAGAGTTTGGATATAATCCGTCTAAACTTTCTGTTAGGGCCAAAGTAGAAAGTTCACAAATGCAGTTAGAACCATCATTTGCTTAACACTGAGGGAGGATCTAACATCTCTCTGTTTCCAGTCTACTGTTGCTAAAATCCTTTTGCCTATCCAGCTTGAAACATAACTTACAGAGAGCTTTTGTCCTTCATAGATCTATGAACAAGAAGATACAACTCTTTGAAAACAGTCTCGTTTTGCCTATGGCTAGGCTGTTCTTATTTCCATTGTAGAGAAGACATCAGGGTTCCCAATAACGGTATGCAGTATAGTTCCGTGTTAGAACACCATTTTGAGGGGGCCTTTTCCTGGGTCCATTTGATTGCCAGGGTGTCATGCTGAAATAGTCATTCTGAAGGGCCCTATTCTTCTTGCTTTTCAGCTGCATGAAAAAAAAACACAGTAAGGAAGAAAGGAGAAAATTTTGCCATTCAAAGAATGAAAATTTCAGTGAACATTAGCAAGAGCCAAAGGAACATTAATTTGGGTATCCTCCTTCTGAATATTCTATGAAAGAGGAAGTAAAATCCCACTTGATGTATCTTCCCACAAGTATGATAAGTCAGGTTTCTCCTTCATGTCATATCAAATAAATGAAAAGCTAATATGCATGTCTTCTTCATGCTCTGAAGTCTTTATGAAGGAGAACCTTGCGTAGCTCTTTCTGGGAGCAAGGTTGAATGAAAAGCAAGGTTTGTGTTACTGGTTATCAGGCAGATGAATAAGTAACTCACAGGTTTTCCAGTATGGCTTCTTTATAATATAAAGAAGTCAGGAGAGATTGCATGTGTCTTTAAAGATGGCCATACATGAATTTCAGAAAAGTATGCTTTAACATATAATAATATACTTTGGTTCCAGCAAAGGGTACAACCCCTAAAGTACCCTCTGCATCTTCTTAACAAATTAAATGGCACTCCATTGAACTCTCCAAAAGTTGAAACCCCTGTAATTTTTAATGGGACTGAGAGGTGACTCAGTAAAAAGATTTTTTTTTAAAAAAAGGTAGTACATGAGATTACAGGAGGGCACTTGCTGACATAGGAAGAGGAAGGTGTTCAATATGTTTGTCCCCCTTGCCAGGTAAGTATCTCTTGCTTATACCTGGTCCCAGCTTATTTTTGAAGGTGGCTCAAATGCTCAAAAGTCAAGCACAACTCAATTAGCCTCCCAGGAATCTGCAGTCTGTTTTACCAAGAACACTTCATGGGCATCCTTGTTCAATTCCAGCAATGTGATGCCCACAAATGCACATACACTTGCTACATGCTGATTGCCCCAGCTTCAGTTAGAGACAATTTCCAAATAAGGGAAGAGAAATATAAAAGGCAGAGAATGTTTTTTATTATTTTCTTGCTATATGTTATGGGGACTCGATGTAATAGCAATACTTCAAGTGTTCAAACCCATGATGTTAGTCTCCATAAATATAGTTCCAAGGAAAATCCAAAATGTTGGCAGGTGCATTGCTCCATATATAGCATGTTCTACATTCTTTCTGGTTATATTTTTCTCACTGGCTACATCTGATTAGTAGTAAGGGAAAATAAAAGAATGATTTCTTACCCAATAGTAGTAAATGGCTGCTGTGATTATCAGACTGTAGAAAACAAAAAATCCAAGTGGAATAGCCATTGGCATGTTCATGTAATTAAGCTTTTCTTGGAGCGGAGGAAGTTCTGAGGATTGACAGGAACACAATAGAGCTCAGACACCTCAAAACAAAGTATAATTTCATATTCATTGAAGTATGCCCTCTCCCATGAATGCTAGAAGATAAATTAACTGAATGCACAACTAACTGAAACTCAAACTACTTAGTTTATTATTAAACTACTTTCAAAGAGTTTTCTCAAAAGTATCACTTAGATTTTGAAGGAAAAGAGTTGTTGAACTCAGGTCTAGGACCTGCTTCTAAGTACCAGTTTCTGGCAAATAATGTTGCAGTGAGGTGATTGTGTCAGAAAATGTTCATAGGAGGGGCATCGATCTAAATCAAGGATTTTTGGCTCTGAAACATCCTACAGATTAACAGAGTTGGAAGGGACCTTGTAGGTCATCTTGTCCATCCCTCTGCCCAAAACCAAAGAAACCAGCTTAAGCACACAATTTAAATATGGGCAACCCTATAGTTAATAAGAATTATATGCCTCTCTGACCCATTAGAAACAAATTTCACAATTTTACCTTTCACATAAATTAAATTGCTCCTGCTTTCAGTTTCATATGGTGGCGGGTCAATCACCTCAATCTTGCACATGTAGCTGTCTGTGTGGATGACCTGCAAGTCCCTCAGGTGAAACACAGCATGTTTTTCTTCTTTTGCAATATTTATGTCCAAGCTTAATCCAGAACTGTTTGTCTTGATTAAAATTGTGGAATTGTTCCAATTTGCTTCAAAAAGTTGTACTTTCCCAATTCCTTTCAACAAGTAGGCATTTAACTTTGTAATGGTCTCTCTGTGAGCTGGAAAGTCACAGGTCAGCTGGGCATTTTGGTGCACTGTTTTGTGTAGGAATCTCTGTTGCTTTGAAATGTTTTCAGCTGTTGGAGGAGAGAAACATTTTAATAAATAGGCTGTCACATGGAACAGAAGAACACCTTAATAATTTGGGGGAAATGGGCTCCTTTTCACTGTAATTTCACTGTGAAGCCACCCAGAGTCACTTTATAGGGCAGTTGGACAGCATAAAATTATTAAAAATAAAGTAATAAAAATAAATTTTGTCAGAGAAATATACTGCTATATTTCACAAAACAAGTTGCTCATAAACGTGATAGAAATTCAGTTTTAATTAATATGATTAGCATGTCAGCATTCCAGAAAAACCAAACTCCAATTAAAAACTCTGAGACTGGCATTTTCTCAAAGTTTCCTTTTATTAGAGTAGTTATACTGGCACATCTGGGAAAATCCAAATCGGAAAGTTCTGAGTTTTCCTCCAATAAGTAAAATATTACAAATCCATCCCTTGCACCCATCATTCGATCACATGCCCCAATCACCATCTGTACCAACACAAAACATCTCCTCTACTATTCCTCATCCAGGTGCAAGAATAACATGAGCTTGACTTTAAAGAAGAATGCTATTATGTCTGACCACATACGCTCCATGAAATCCCCCCTCACAACTTCTCACACTCAAAAATGTGCCAACATGGAAGCTTCTGGTGCTAATATGGCTTTCAAAGCTGACATAGCACTGTGTTTGACTAAAGTGCAGCTTTTCTTTTTCATTGAAGAACTAATAATAAGAGCCACCCAAACTGCAAAACAGAAGCAGGGCAAGTGGAATAGTTTGTCTGAAATCCTGCTTGGTTGTGTTTCAGGTGTGTCTTATACCTATTATGAAAATGCACAATCCATGCCAGACAATGGACAATAGCCATATGTGTTAAGTTTGGGAAAAGAGAGGCTGAACCAGAGCATGAGTGCAACAATACTTTATTATAACAATAAAGGGCTGACCGTGCTTGCCACGCCTGGAACTGGCTCGCAGCGATCAGCAACTGGTCGGACCCCGCAGCCTGCTTTTATAGCTGGCTGCTGGGGAGAACCAACCAATGGGTAAAGGGGAGAACGCCCCCGCAAAGTGAATGGACCTGAGTGAGAACTCCTAGAGTCCTCAGGACATAACAATATGTGTTATCAGAGTAGCTCTGAAACACTAGTTCATGTGAATAAGTCCCTCAGCAAGCTGCCCCCATCCCTGCTCTCATCCCAGGAGACAGAATTGAGTAAGGAGCTAGATTTCTCCAACTGTTTCAGACCTGTAGAAGGCAGAGGGATGGCCTTGAAGGATAGGAGAAAGATTCTCTACCAATGCAACCATCAATCAGACAAGTCCAACTTGAGCCCATTCCAAGAAAATAATTGAATAAATATCTCAAACAGAACACTCCTTAACTCACATAAAGATAAAGTGAGGAAGGGGAGAAGGGCATTCAGACATGCAAGATTATGGTACTATAACTGTCCCAATAAAAGTAGTACTAGTACTACGGGATTATTATCAATGATTTGAATATTATTGTTATTACTACTATTATTTCGTTTCAAAACTAACTGTACTCAGACAACATGCTGTTCATGTAGATATTGAATTTTTAATAAAGAAAATGTATAAATAAAATAAAATAAAAAGTCTTGTCACCAAAATTGGGTAGAGAAAAGTGCTGCAGGTGTGATGTTCAAAATCTTTGCATGGTATGTCCACCAATAGTATTACTATCCCGTGCAGTAAAATGAGATAAACAGGCATTGGAGGCAGAACATCATTTATTTATTTATTTATTTATTTATTTACTTACTTACTTACTTACTTACTTACTTACTTACTTTGTTTAGTTAGTTAGTTAGTTAATTTCATCGTGTTTATATAGGTATCCAAAACAGAAAATGTGTCTCTGAATGCCATGTAATAAAAAATCACTGCTGCTAAGTCAAAATAGGAGATCCTTGAAACAGTGAAGAGTTACATCTTTTCTTCACTTTCTCCCTGCAGTTCAGTGGCATATTTCTACACTGAGGGCATTGGGCAACAACTTTATGGTGGGAAAGCTCTAATAGTTACACAAAAGACTTGGGGATTATCTACTTTATTACTTACTTACTTACTTACTTACTTACTTACTTACTTACTTACTTACTTGATTATGTGACCAACCAATTCACACAGTGTAAATATTTGACCAGAAAGCAAGATAAACATTGCCATACTATGAATGTCAGGCTTGTTGTCACTCAACATCACAACAGTAGTCAATTATATTTGTGCCTGTCAGCAATCATTTGGGATATATGCAAAACCATGGTATTTTTGTGAGCCAGCCATTGATATCAGGTGATGAGATAGTGGCGTTACAAGCAAGTAATAAAATTGCTATAAAGTTATTCATTCTGACTATTCATAACTATTTTCAAGAATGTAAACCCATTTTAATTCACTGATAATTAAATCCTTAAATATTATATTTAAGATGTGAGAGTTTTATTTAATAATGCACATAATATAAACTAAAATAAGCTCATTTTATGAATAAGCATTAATTAAACATTGCTTCATTATTTTCTTATGTAAGCAAATCTGCAGCAATCATCTTATTCATATATAAAATTATGTTCAAATCAAAATCAGGCTCATAAATTTGCTAGTTTTTATTTGTTTTAGATAGCAGTTCATTCTTTTTTAAAAGCACCATTTTGATCTTTCTTTAAGCTATCAAAGTTCCTTCTTTGTGAAAATATAATACTTTTTTTCAATATTAGCACTGCAGTTTCAGCTAAATCAATACCTAGCTTTTTATCTATCTAGCTTTTTCATAATTTAAGCCCTTCAGAGGGAAATAATGCAACTCATACTGTTCTCTAAACCAGTCATATCCAAACTGTAGCCCACATGCAGCCCTGGATAGCTAGCAATGTGGACCCACAAGTTATTATAAAAATATTTTAAAAATAAATTTGTTATTTATATAAATTTATATACTATATGGTTATATATTATATATTATATACTTTGTATGTGGCTGAAGACAATTTCTCTGGACTCAATGCGGCCCAGGCAAATCAAAAGTTTGAACATGCATGCTCTAAACTAACAAATAATCAGAGCCCTGCATACAGTCCCTCTTGCATAAAGGTGCAAGAAAGGTGCAAGAAAGATTCCTCTGAAGGAACCTCTACAGCACAAGATATATCTGGATAAAGAGGAAAGGAGCAGTGATTCTGGTCTTGTTCCCCATCAATCTTCTTCCACTAGTTCTATCTCTCAGACATCTGTACATTGAACCAAGGATCCAAGGGTCTAATCCAAGGAGTTATCCCTTTGCAGGCATCACCACTGCAACACATTACATCTAGGAGTTGGGGGCTATTGTGGGTGCAGAGTCAAGGATGGGATTCACTGATATTGGCAGATAATTTATGATCTGGGAAGAGATTAAGCAGTTCCTAGTATGCCTTTCACCAAGTTCTTCTGTAATTGAATACAGCCTGAATGAAGGCATGGACTTTTACATCGGTTTTCATTTCTTGTTCTATGATACAGCTTAATTGCAGTGCTTTCTGACCATGACTTACTGATTATTCACCTTAGACTCTAGTTCATAGTTTGTGATCTGGGCCTGAGGAAAACTTAATTGTCTAAAGTCACATCTTTCACTTGAAGTGCATTTTTTTCTTTGCTTTCCAAATATCTTACTAAAGAACAAAAAACAATTCCTCTTTCTCCCTCTCTTTTTTTGTGCTTAATTTGTTTACATCGATAATATTTCCACAAATAGTGTGGGAACTAAGCTCTGAAGAAGGCTTTGTTTTCTTTTCTCATTTTTTCACTATATTCTACTTTCCACAATAGAATAGTCATAAGAGGTAAATGGAAGGGAAGCAGACTAGAGGTAAATGAAGTATGTTAGTGTAGGTTAAAATCATGTTATTGAAGACAGACAACAATATTGGTGTATTGGAATAGGGTATAGTAGAAATGCATTTAATTTGGATTTTTAAAACTATTTATTTCATATACATTTTTGCACATTTTAAAACTTTATTACAAAAGACTAAAACTATACAATATAGAGTATGTTAAAAAAATCACATTAAAAGCCATTAGCAAAAAAAGGCCATTAACGCAACTATTAAAAGCCTAGTAAAATAAATGTTCAATTCAATTCAAAATGTTCAATTCAATTCCTATTCAATTTCTTGAATAGGCTCATATACTACCCCAAGGGAAATGAGTTTCATCATCAGAGAACAACAGAGGAGAAGGTTTTCTCCTGAAGGTCAGAAAAGCGGACCTTTGATACAGTGTGCCATCTCTGGTTGGCTTCACCTCTGGATAAGTTCTTAAAAGGCGCACCAGCCATTAGACTTTTTTAAGGAACTAAACAAAACTCCTCAAGTCTAGATTGGTTTTTGGTGACACATCACTGCAGAGTTTGGAGCCACAATGCCATACTTTTTTTTGTACCTAGTAGTGTATAGTAGACAACTAGCATCTATCTTTCAATAGAAGCATGGAATCTCAGAACCTCTTACTGATTAGCAGCCAAATACCTTTAAATATAAATTTACCTAAGTTCACAATTTCAGAAGCCTATACGTGATCCTTTCCAATGTTCAGTACATGTCCCCAAATACTGTGGTGCTGCCTAATATATATGACTATGATTGGTAGACAAAAATGTACTGTATCTATTCCGAGAGCCAATATGATATAATGGCTAAGCCATCAAGATAGAAACTAGGCCATTGAAAAAATATTATTAAAGTAATATGAAATGTAATAAACTGAACTTAAGCATTTTTGGGAAACTGGGAGAAACTGAACAGATAACAAATTTGACCAACCCAAATTCGATCTTGCATCATTATCCTGGGACACGTACATTTGCTTTCATTCATCAGATAACAAATTTCCCATTCCAGCTAAAGCCTATATTATTTTTAACTGCTATGACTCTGAACCTGTGCTGTTAATGATCTGCCACATATTTAAGTAAGTGAAAATGGCAGAGGAGTTTCAAAAGTTGATGTCTCCAACTTAACTGTAACAATGCGCAACATCATTTATTGTCCAATTTAAAAAAATATCAAAGAGTCATTTGAAAGCAAGCAAATAACCCTGAGATAGTCAATCAGGTCCTAGAGAGAAGAGGGGAGCTGCAACAGATTGTTCATAGGGAACGGATGTTCTAAGGAAGGTTGTGGCTTGTAAGAGCTGATAAGGTCTCAATTGAACTATTATTAATTATTGATTCTTATTAAACTGACTACTGATTAGGGATGTGGTAGGTAATTTTTGAAACCAAGTCATTTCCCTACTTGAAATTGTTCTTCAAAGTTTCTGTTTGCCCAGTAAAGGAAAAGATAACATTACAATAAGAAGCTTGCTTGTTTTCTCCAGCAAAACAAATGCCAGCTTGGTGGAGGGCAATTCAGATTTAACAGATGGTATAATAGAGGTGTCTAATTGCCCTTTCCCTGAACTACACTGAACTGGGTGGGGCTGGGGACATACAACTCATTTCTCTTGCGGAATGTTAATTTCATCGTTCCCCAAATCAAGTGTTGAAAGTAGGTCAGCCAAGTTAATAGTCCTTGATTTGATCCATAAAGAAAAATACTCATATTCTTCATGAGATTTACCTTCTGCCTAACTTTCTTCTTTGTAAAGGAGATATCCAAGGGTTAATGAAGGATCAGTTCAGTTTTACAATCAGAAAAAGTAAAAACATGGCTATTTACTGATATTGTTTGTATCTTTACCATTTATATTGTTTTATTTGTTTCCTATATAATTTGATTGCTTATTACTAATCTATGACTATCACTAAGTGTTGTATCTTATGATTCTTGATTAATATATGTTATTTTTTCTTTATGTACACTGAGAGCATATGCACCAAAGAGAAATTCCTTGTGTGTCTAATCAAACTTGGTCAATAAAGAATAAAGAATTATATTCTATTTACTGAGATGCACCATGTTACAGTGGATCTGGTTCGGTCAGCATTATCAGTAAAGTAGTCATTCTTGTTTCTTATAGCCTTCTCCAGTTTGGTAGTTTTCCAGAGGACTTATTACATGAGAGCCACATTGGTGCATCCAACAGACTAGAGAAGGCCATTACGATTATGAACATTGTTTTGTGATAAGCAAGCTGGTTAATGTTAATGTTTTCTTTAATGTTATTGTTAAATATTATACTCAAATAGTACTGTGTTTGCTCCAAGCTTCATTTAACAATTGCCTGACAGATTTTCCACACAAGAATCTAAAAGATGGAGCAAGGGGTAAGAGAAAAAGAGGCAGAAAGAGACAGAAATTATTACCTGCTGAACTGGTATCCTGAATAATATGAAGCACAGGAAGAACACTCCAGGCGATTATGCTGGTAAAAGACATAAAGGACATCTTGACCTCATACGGAACAGAACAGAAAGTTGCAGTTGTATCAGTTTAACTCCACACTTCAGGTTAAACAGGTATCTCAGAGATTTTATTCTCATCTTTTCCTCTCAGAAGCATGTAAAATGCAGAAATATCAAACCACTCTGCTGCAAACAGGAAACGGCTCTTTGATGACTTTGTAATTTTATCTGTGTTTATTCATGCTTTTTTCTATACTTTGCTCTACTCTCAGAAACTCTGCACTATTATGCCCCTGACGTTCATTGGAAAGAAATGCCAACCCTCGCCCACTGAAAATGAGAATAGGAACCTGGATCAATACACAGCCTGAAACTTTCATAGCTGCCAGATGAGAAGAAACTGCCACTGAGATTCAGCCAGTCATTTGTGGACCAGGCTTTTTTCCTCATGTGCCTTCCTCTGAAGAATCTACATCATGGAAATAGAGCTACTGTTACCATCATAAAAATAGCCAAAGCAGCATCTCTACCACCTCTATTCCTTTGAAAAAGTTCCACATTAGAAATGAACTTATCCAGAAATATCTGTGGAGATTCTCAGTCATCCAGGTCCTAATTGTTTCAAAGGTGCTTTTTAGAAAAAGGCAACCCGGGTGTTCTCCCCGCTCCCCTTAAGGAAGACAAAAATGTTTCACTTCTCATGCAAAAAGCTTCATTGGTCCTAGCAGGGTGGTGGGGGTAATGGAAGGATTAGTTCTGACAGGACAGGGCAGGCAGTGTTGGAAGTATCAGTTCTCTGTCTTTCATGGCACATTTCCAATGTTTGATAAAAGTTATGAAGGATCTACAGGTCATTAAAAATGTAGGTATCATCAAGATAAAAATGTGTGTGATCTTCAATATTAATTACTATGGAATAAATAAATATAAACAAATAGGTTCAAGTATTTGACACCAGCTGGAACTAAGTTCCCCCAAGAGCTCTTTGTTTAGAGTCTAAATAATGGCATGAAAGTCTTGGAGCAAGACTTTCCAGCAAGACTGGAGCAACAGAATATCATACATTCTGTGGCCATCACCACTCTTTTTTTTCTTCTCTTTAAAACTGATTCCCCTACCACCACCAAATGAGCTATATGGTTCAAAATAAAGGAAGAGAATCTGGCTTACCACTGTGAAGCTTTGGGGAAGATAAAAAGGCATTTAATTAAAAACACCTATACCAAACTATAAATTTTATCCAAGAAGGCAGGGATGTTGTGGTGGAACAAGGGCGATTCTGGAGCTCCTGGGAAAGCCACCGAAACCCCCACAGCTGAACCCAAACCATCCCAAAGAGACAGTGAGCAAAGGGAGCACATCCTGTCGATCCCAGGGACACTGCAAAGTCCCTGGTTGATCCAGGAAAGCTCCTGAAGTTCTGCAGTGGAGGGAAGCTGCCATTAAAGCCACTAGAAAGCTGTGACAGCACCGGAAAAAAAGATTGTCAGGAAAGTGTGTCGGTTTGGATGAGAACCCTTTTTTTTGTTTTTTTACTAAAATCAGAGTACCCTAAGGGTGTTTAGAAGGAAGAAGACAGAAAAGTGGAGAACAGCAGCAAAATAGAACATAAGGCTAGCTGTCAAACATTTTTTGGACTGTTTTATTTTATTTTTCTTATTTTTTAAAGAATTTTTTTATTTTTGCTTAAGTGGACTGGATCTTCAAATAAGAATCAATTGAAAATTACTTTTAATTTTTGTTGCTAAAGTTAAACTATTTTTCCCTTTTTATTTTTACTTTTAAAAAGGATACTTTGTTAGAATCTATTGGCTACAGTATAACTAAAGGAGAAAGTTAAGCAATACTGTCATCTAGAGGTCGTATATATACATATACATATACATATACATATACATATACATATACATATATTTTATGTCTCATCTGTATCCACAGGTGGGAATACACAGTTCCAAAGTTCAGATATTCAAGCAAAACAAAACCAGACCCAAAAGAGTTAACTGCTCTGTTTACACAGTCCTTAGCAGTCTTCCTGGAATCTGTCTGGCAAAGCTGAATTGTTCATAAATCATGATGGCCACTTCAAATGTATTCTTCCGAATCCAAAAAGCACTAAAAATCCACTTTGCTTCGAGCGGGGGAGAGGTGTTAGCACGCTCCTTATATATCCCCTGAAGGGGCGTGTCAGTCTCATTAATTAATCCTTGGCTGGACATCTCTTTTCTAATTGAGATTGACGTCTCAATCTTCTCCTAGTTCTGGCATCCAGCCAGCATCTGGCAGTTTCATCATCGCTTGAAGCCTCTGGCACACCTTCCTGATTAACAGTTAACACCTGAGGTGCAATCAGGGAGGAAGTTCCAGAAGAGGAAGACGTCTCTGAAACTTCTAATAAATTAGGCTCATCTCTTAGATTCAACTCCTCCTCCTCCCACAGACTCCTCTCAACGTCGCTCAGTAATGAAGGCTCGAATCTCAATGCCAGATCTTCCTCCTCACTCGAGCCTACATCTGCTGACTGACCTGGTTCAAACCTCGGAGGCACAACACATATACATATATGTTGTGGCTCGGAGGTTTGAGCCTGCTTTGTCAGAGGTCGAGGACTTGGTCAATGAGGAAGAGGAGGATTTGACTCTAAGGTTTGAGCCTGCTTTGTTAGAGGATTTGGAATTGCCTTCCTCCCCAGGATTTCCCTCCTCGGCAGGATCTTCCCCCCTGATTGTGCCTCAGGAGTTGGCAGATAATCAGGAGAACGTATCAGAGCCTCTGACTGAGGATCAAGCCCAGGAATGCTGGCTTGATGTGAGGCAATGGCTCAGGCAAAAGTGTAAGTTGCAACGTAAAAGGAAAGGACGAATTAGTGACTGAGATGAGGGACTGACACACCCCACAGAGAATAAAAGGGGGTGTGTTAGTTCTGGATTCTTGTTCGGGACAATGTGTTAATTTGTGAGAGCAGCTCCGACGGAATCTGTGTGTGTGGCAATAGCCTGTGATTTATGTTTTTGCTTTATTATCGGACTTGGCAGACAGCTTGTGTGAGACTGCCAAGGACTTGTCTGGCCAAAGGAATTTAACCCTGTCATTACTGGTCTTGTCTGCTTGTGTATATTCCTTTGGAAACTTGGACTTCTCAGTTCGTTGGCACAGGTGGGACATAACATTTTTGTCCCGAACCCAAACAAAAAAACATCTTTTGACCAAGATGGATCAACAACAGCAGCAGCAGCAGCAGCAACAGCTTAATTAGCTGCAAAATGATAACCAAGTTCTGCAGCAGCAAGTTACTCAGCTGATTAATCAAATCACTCTGCTGTAGGCTCATGCTGCTCCTCCTGCCCCTCCCCATAGGAAATGCCTAGTAGCTGTGCCGGATAAGTTCTCTGGGCAGCCTGAAATGTTCCCGGCTTTCATGGGACAGTGCCAATTGTTTATGGCTCTGAGGCCGGAGGATGTTCCTGATGACCAGGCTTGGGTGGGGTTTGTAATCAGCCTTCTGTCGGGCTCGGCTGCCAGGTGGGCCACTCCTTTGTTGGTGCAGGACAGTCCATTGCTAACGGACTATCAGGGGTTTTGGTGTATGAGGACCCCATACGGGCTCAGACAGCAGCCAGACGTCTGAAGGAACTTCGCCAGCGGAAACGCCCCTTGCAGGAGTTGATTTCAGAGTTTCGACTGCTCTGTTTGGACTCTGCATGGTATGATGCGGCTTTAATGGATGCTTTCCAAGATGGCCTGTTGGAGGACATACAGGACGAGTTGGTTCACGTGGAGCCGGCCCTGACCCTCGATGCTCTGGTGGTGCAATGCTTTTTTTAAAAAAATAGATTTTATTGAATTTACAATTTAAAAACACATTAATGGTACATTTACAAAATAAAAAGAAAACTTCAATGGCATAAGACTCGATGTCCCATTCGGAGCAGCCATCCACCTCAAGGTCACAGCATCCTGCACAACCAGCGCCCCAGGTCTCCCACAGTGCCGTGGCCAGGGCTGAATTGGCCGCCCTTTGTGATTTCTTGGAAAAGAATTTGGCCCAAGGGTTTATCCGACCGTCGTCATCCCCTCTTTCTGCTCCCGTTCTTTTTGTTAAAAAGAAGATGGGAGACTTGCGCTTGTGCTGCGATTACCGCCAGTTGAATGCCATTATGGTGTGGAATAGTTATCCCTTGCCGCTCATTCCAGAGTTGATGGTGCGGTTACGGGAGGCTACTGTCTTTACCAAGCTCGATCTTTGAGGGGCCTACAACCTGGTGCGGATGTGAGAGGAGGACGAATGGAAAATGGCCCGATACGGCCATTTTGAGTACACTGTGATGCCGTTTGGGTTGACCAATGCCCCCGCGGTCTTCCAGCACCTGATGAACGATGTGTTCTGGGACATGCTCGATCGGTTTGTGGTGGTGTACCTGGGTGATATTTTGATTTATTCCAGGTCCAGGGACAGCCATCTTTAACAAGTTCGTCAGGTCTTGCAACGTCTTTGGGAACATCAACTCTATGTGAAGCTGGAGAAATGCCTCTTCTTCCAGACTTCCATAGAGTTCTTGGGGCACATCATCTCTCCCAAAGGCATTGCCATGGACCCACGTAAACTGGAGGCCTTGTGTAGTTGGGAATCCCCTTGTCAAGTGAAGGATGTTCAACGTCTCTTGGGGTTTGCTAATTATTACCGGACCTTCATCCCGGGTTTTGCCAAGATGACGGATCCCATAACCCAGCTCATTTGAAAGAAGGTCCCATTCCAGTGGGGGCTCCTGCAGAACAGGCCTTTGAGGGTCTCAAGAAGGCCTTCATTGCAGAACCTGTCCTGAGGCATCCTGATCCACACACATTGTCCTTTTGCGGTGGAGATGGATGCATCCAACGTGGCTATTGGGGCTGTGTTGTTGCAAGCCCCGGCGGATGGTGCCCCTCTTTTTCCCTGCGCTTACTATTCTCGGAAACTCACTCCTTCCGAGTGCAACTATACTATCTGAGAAAAAGAGTTGCTGGCTATCAAGGCTGTGTTTGAGACCTGGCGACATCATCTTGAGCGGGCCTGGCACAAGGTGGAGGTTCGGATGGATCATCGTAATTTGGAATACTTGTCCACTATGAGGAAGTTGAACCAGCGACAGATCCGGTGATCGTTGTTCTTTGCCTGGTTCAACTTTTCTGTGACC